GGGGGGGGGCGTAAAATCGCCACTCGGGAAAAAAATCCCTCCAACCGGGCCTTAAGAGAGTTGCAGGCTGGAGCGAGAACTGTCGTGTATTTGCTGATTTCTATCATCTTCCTATTATAGTTGAACAAAACAACTTTGCTAAATCAGTTCTGTTATCAGATGAAACTTCATAAGTAAATAATAATTTAGTTTCTTTCATACTTTTCTTTTTCTTAAAATTGATAAAAATTTAAAAAACAGACGAAAATTTATGTAGACTCAGAAAATCTACCTTCGCAATCTCGAAGAGCGAGGCACGAAGTATAATTATTCGACCGACCGAGCCGAAAAATAAATATTTTACATTGATATTTGTGTTTATACATATAAAAACGACGAGGGTGGGTAATCTCTCGGGCGAGACACTCGTATAATTTAGATCAACCCACGCTCTTCGGACTCGATTAATCGAACAATTTTGGAATATTTCGACCAAATTCGTGGAATTTTGAGAAGAAAAATATGAAAATAAAGTAGATCTACGACGAAACCCAACTTGTATGACGGTTCAAAATACTTGTTTTAATTATAAGAGTTACTGAAAAAAGACGAGAAAAATACAACATGACATAATTTTGAAATCTCAATTTTTTCAACTTTTTTTTTTGAAAATTCCCTATTATGAGCACCTAGGGGTTGAACAAAAATTACTCAAAATATTCTTCTAAATGATAAAAAAAAAACAAAAATTTTAACGTGTCATAAATCAAAATCAGATGAATAAAAATGGAGCTATTGGAAAAAAAAGAAAAGACAAAAAAAATCATATCTCCGAAATGGGCTGTTAAAAAAAATCTGAAAAAATTGAAGGATAGGTTTTCTAGTGCCCCAATCGTAGAAAAAATCGAAATCAATTTCGAAGAGGGTGAGGGTCAGCCGTTGACTCAATTTACATGGTATACCTCATATTGTTCGAGACATTTTTACCGATCGATTGGTATTTTTTCATTACCAGACCTTTCTATTTAGGCTCCAAATCTAAATTGACTGGACTATTTAGTATTATCACAGCTGAACCATACCAAATTTCAACTTGAAATCTCCTTTCTTTCTCAAGTTATCGTGCCTACAAGATTTTTTATTGAAAACGAAAAAATGGCAATATCTTCAAACTGTGTATTCAAGAGTCTATATATTCTCCTTCACCTACATAAAGGTTATCGAGACGAATATTTTGAAAAAAAAGTTGAAATCGGTGCAGTAGTTTTTGAGATATTGAGGAGAAACGAAATTTAAATAAGTTGTTATATTTCAGTAACTGCTGGACCGATCGGGCTGAAACAGCGCGCCAGAGTTGAGCTCAATAATAGTTACAATGAACCAAAATTTCAGATTTTTATCTACAAATTTTCTAAAAATTAATCACCAAAAATCAAAGTTGTCGTATACATACATACAGGCATGACCCTAAAAACGTAATTTCTTCACGTTTCATAACATTCTAGACCATTTGCAATCAAAATTAGCAAATTGAAAAATCGGTCAAAAACAAGGCTTCCACTCCAAGGATTCCATTGGGAACCAAAAAGGAAAAAAAAACACAAGGAATGGACATCAACACCCTGGCTGCTTGCAAACGGGGTGGCTCTAGTCCTTTAAAACAAAAAGCATAGACAGTACTCGAATTGAAAATAGGAACTCGAACATGGCAAATATCTCGAACTAATGGAGAAAGTAACACAGTTTTCATTAGTTCAATCGTCTTGCGTCGAATTTTCATGAAGACCGTCTAATAAACAAAAAAAATTGAATACCATTTTATGAAACGTGGATAAACGAATCATAATTGTCTAAATCATTTAGGTTAGAGGAAAATAGAATAATTCTACGTTCTTAATATTGCATTTACTAAGGGTTTCTTTGAAGCAAATTGATTAAAATTAATAACTAGAGTTAAGAAATTATCTCACATTTTTCAGTGGAAATAATGATCGATTTTTTTCGATTTATTTTCACAAATAATATGAATATCTAAATACAAAATTTTTTATATGGATAAAAAGAAGCTGACTCAATATTCCAAATAAAGTTTTAATTTTGAATTTGGTGCTAAAAACGTGAGAGAACAATAAGCGCGGAATTATATTGGTGAAATGAACAACAGATTAATTGAATTACCGTGTGAATTAATTAAAAATTGATAACAGCCCAAAAAACAATTTTTGCCAGTGCCATCTAAAATTTAAGAGGACATCGGAAATTTGTCGTCAAATTATCGACATACTGTTTGCTGGGAGTGTGGGTGCGCACTCCCGAGTCGAATATTAGGACCTGAATTCCCCCTTGAACACCTATCATGAGTAGGAGGACCAGGATGAAGTTAGGGTGTATTTACATTCAGAAAGACCCCCTGGTTTCCGTCTGAACGTGCAAGTTATTTCCAAATTCCGAGGGTTCAGGAGGAAAACAGGAGGTGTGTTAAACCTATTTATCGCCTGCACCTCCTAAAATGTTTTCCACTCCATGACCTCCTCCATTCTCTCCTCCTGGACAGAATCTACAAACCCTTTCGAGGTATTTTTTATTTATTTTTAATTATTAACATGAGAAGTACGGGTGAAAATTAAGGTCATATTCAAGGGTCATATATAAGGGTCAAAAATAACGATCAGAAACAACAGTCAAAAATAAGGGTGGGAATTTCAGTAATTTTCACCGCAAACAGAAATGAACAAAATAGTGAGCTACTCAATCATCCTGGCTATCAGGGTTAATTCAGGGGATTTATGATTCCTTTTCATTCGACAGGAGGAGAAGGGGGAAAAAAGTATCAGTTGAGAAGGGTTTTTACGCCTTTAGGATGAGGCAGGATCATATAAGGAGTTATTCAGGATGTATAGGATGAAGAAAGAAGGAAAAAATATCTCAAGGAGGTAATAGGGGAGAATAAGGTCCAGATATTCGACTCGAGGAGGTAACAGCGGGGAATAAGGTCCAGATATTCGACTCGGGCTTTTACCGGAGCATCAACAAACACTGAATCCCAAAAATTCACACTCAAAAGTGTGTTCTAATAGGCATTTAATTGTAATTATGATTGAAATCTCTTTCAGTGAGCATAGGAATCAGAGCATGAGCTAATCATTTATTTTAATAAGAAAATTTAATAGCTGATAAATTAGGGCATATGATTCTCATCGATTGTATTGCTTCGTGCAATAAAAATTATTATAAGCAATTGATTGAAAAAAAAATATCGAATCTGACAGGAAATCGGGTATAATGAATGACGCTAGTTATATAAATAGTAGAATATCTTCAAAACTACTCATCCAATGTGGTTCATCTGAAATCCTGTAATATGGTCTCGGGCTAACATGAGGAGAAAAAACGTGGAAATTCGAGAACGAACTAACGTCAAACTTTATTGATAAATAAATAAATCGCGAAATTAATCCATGTTAACGTACTTTCTCAACGAGAATTCATAAATATCACTAGTTCGACTACAATTACGTTTCGAATCAGTAACCTTCCCCTAATAAAAAAAGAGAATTTTTATCTTTTGTATGAGTTTTCTCCGAATTTCTATGAAAATTCTAGAAATTAACGTTCCGAATACCGGAAAAAATAGACCAAGGGAAATTTTTAAGTTGGGTGGATTTTAGCACGTTTTGGGTGTGTGGTCTATTTTTTCCGCCTACCTTACGTTCCAAAGCACGAGTTACCTGCTAATTGTATTTCCCCAAGTATCCTTTCAATATCCGCTCTATTCGTTCTCCCAGATCGTCTCAGCTGTACTTCAAGAGTCTGAAAAGACTTCTCAAAACTGTAAATAGGTTCAGCCTGGCGATCAACTGCTCTGGTTGCATAATTTCTGCACAACGAAATCATTATAATAAAATTGACAATTATTATTGGAAAATATACATGGTAAAGGAAATGCAATTGCACCTGGTTAAGTTGGTTACACGTTGATTGTGGAGCCTCAGTCGTGATGCGTTCGATTCAACAATGCTTTGACTTATATTTATCCATTTCGTAATAGTACGATTTTGTGTTAAATGCCTAACGTATCGTAATAACGTTGCCATTGTTATATATCTGAGATTTTCGTGACTTCAATTCGCTTGAAGAGAAGACTCACCGGTGCAACTCTAAAAATTTGCTCGATGGAGATCTTATACCAATGGCCGCATCACAGTTATATATATGCACACGTGCTATCAAATACTATCAAATTCCGTATTCATGAAGCGAGCGGGCTGTGTATTTGCTTGGTTTCATAACACAGAGCATGGTCGGTAAGGCCATAAACCATAGAGGTATAAAGTCTAGAGCGTCCAGAGTCAAAGAGGACAGACCCAGAGCAGAGATTATAGGGGAGATCTCCGACGGCAATGTAAACGTTTCGACTGAATTTTTTGGTAGTGGTGGCGCATGAACTAAATGCGAGTATACTTTTGTTGGTAAAACAGGAGGGTATACTAATGTCGGTATTCCCCGCGGCCCTGAGTGATAAATGTATATGTATCGTGCTCGCTCCCACTCATTGTCGTCACCGTTGCGTTGGCAAGTGCCCGTCCTCCGCCAAACTTAACGAGTGCGAGTGAGAAAGAAAATGGAGAAGAAGGAGAGAGAAAACATTCCAACTCGTTGGAACGCTTGGAACGTTTTCGTTGTTCTCCAGCGATCTACACATAATGGGATTAAGTCAATAATAATAGATTAATGAATAAGATTTTTCGCAGATTATTGCCAGATTTAGATGAATTGTTTGCCTCCTTCAGTGACCATGAAAAATTGTCTCCAATTGACAATATCTCCTGATATGGAATGGAACGATGTGAATGAATAAAGTATCAATTTGAATCTTTAAAAAATTAATCCAGAGTGAAAAAAAATCAGGGAATTCCACTCTGCCATTACGGAGTTATTGACGAGTGAAGTTTATTCGCTGCACTCTGACAGTTCTCTATTGTCTGTATTTACCGAGAAAAAAAAAGTTGTTCCTAGGAATCGATATGTCTTTTTTAGGCAACTGCATTTCTGAAATGCAATGAGCAAGCAATATTGAAATTAAGTCATTTTGTAGAAAGTGCCAGTGACATGATCTTGAAACTCAAAGGAAAGTCTTGCATTCAGGAATGATGTCTGTAGGTTTCAGCAATATTTTCGCGGAAATTCCGGGAAGACTTACTGGGAATTTTTATCGGGTTGCCGTAATACGGAAAATTCAAGGAATTTCGTCATTGCAAATTAAAAATTTCTATAAATTTCAGTCCAATTATATGTGTACGTCCACGTGAAAAGGGCCCATTTTGTCGCATCTAATTTCCGAGATATTCACGTTTTTCTCTCCACTTCTTTATCCCAATGTTAAATTGATTTTTTGATCTTCTATACGGACGTCACACGGAGAAAAATAAATCGGTAAAAGTCTTGCGATCGCAAGGAGTTTCCCGAAGATGCCCACTTTTCATGCACGAAGAACAATGAAGCTTTTTGGAATCTTCGGGAAATTCTATTCTATCCTGAATCCTACTCAAGTACCCGAGTGAAATTTGCTTCAGGTTCACCTGAAGCACGATCAGAATTTGATCAGGTTTTTGTAAGGTTCGATTGATCCGGTGATTCCTGATGAGAACCTGACCAAGTTCTGATCCAGCAGATCGGATCCGAATAACTACAGGCGGGTTCAGATCAAGTTCTGATCACCCTGGTGATCCAGGAGCCACGGTACTTGCGTGGCTGTTGCGTGGCTAATAGGATTGTGATTTTCTGGAGCTANAATACTCAGAGGGGAAAGGAATTTTTGAACGATTATTTAAAAAAAACATTAAATCTCCTGAGGCTTTCTGGTGCATGGCAGAAATCGATTACCCAGCGTTATCTAGTTTGGCAACGAAAATCTGCAACATTCCGAGTTCTACCGCGCAGATTGAACGACTATTCTCGAAATGGGCATTCATTCATTCTGATCTCCGAAATCGTCTGAGTGTAGAACGTTCTATGAAGCTAGTTTCTGTTTACTATCCCTGGTGATCCAGGAGCCACGGTACTTGCGTGGCTGTTGCGTGGCTAATAGGATTGTCATTTTCTGGAGCTAAAAAGGGGGAAATGATATCTGAAAACACAATAAACGTGGATAGACGAATTTTTAGTTTATATTTGCACTGTTTATAACATTGTTTTCTATCAATTGATTGAAATTAATAGGAGTGTATATGATGATAAAACAAGACCCGTAGGGGGAATGCCGGGAGATGGCGGCAATGTCGATATCGCAACGGGGTCGGTCAAGTTGACAGGATTCGCAGCCAGAATAAATGAGACCCCAACAGAGGTGGGGCGCCACGGTAGATTCTAACGGCTGGGCGAGCTGCCTGTCCCGGTAACTCGGCAGTAGGGCCAGAAGAA